GTGTGACAGGGCACCCAAGAGAGGTACAGCACACAACAGGCATCGGGGTTTGGGGCACTCCAGATGAGATGTCCCAGCATTGCGGCCCATTCTGCAGACTGAAAGTAGCGTTGGGCTCTTGTTAACTCTTGCTGCTTCTCCTTCCTTAACAGAGATCGGTGCTGAGCCCAATGGCAATATCTATGTGAAAGTGGTGCAGCAGGTGCATTCGGAGAGAGCTTGTCAACAGGCAGCAGCTCAAGCTCCTCTCCAGGCTGGAGGGCTTCCTCACAGAGCAGGTCCCAGCACAGGGGGAAGAGCTTCCCCTGCCGCATGCCCCCACTCCGTCTCCAAGGCCCAGGCTGGATGCAAACGCAAGGCCTTGGAGGAAGGGACACCAGCAGCAGCGCAGCTGCCTGCCAACAAGAGAGCGAGGGCTGAGAGCGGAGACAGCGTGCCGGCTCCAGCAGCACGGCCTGGGCCTGCCGCAGCGCGGAGCTCCAGGCGCAGAGGTGAGCAGGGCTGTGCTACCGCCGTGCTGAGCTGCTGCCCTCTGCAAGCATGCGGAGTCTGCTTGGGGTTTGCTTTGCTTTTTCCTTCTCTGAAGAGGGGAAAGGGGTTGAAGGCTGCCGAGTCCAAAGGCAGCGAGGTGCCGGAACGTGCAAGCCCGTCTCTTTACCTGCATGGTGGTCTTCTGCACGTCCCACTGGAAATGTCATTCACTGGGGGGCTTCCTAGTCCAATTTCCTTTGTCTTTTTTCTGCCATTGGTTGCTGCAGTTTTGCTGCTGACGAAACAAATTCATCTTTTTTCTCGCCTTATAGCAAGAAGACAGCGACGAAAGGAGAGGAGAGCAGAGCTGAAGAAGGCTTCTCTGAGAGCAGCTGCTGCACGTGCAGAGGTGAGTCCTGGTGAGTGCAGACACGGTTCTCGTTGCTCTCAGGGCCTCCGTCTGTCAGACATGAAAGATTTCCCGAGGGAAGCGCTGTCCTGTTTCTACACTTGCTCTGTTTCTTTCCAGTCCTCCGCAATGAACAGCCTTGTGGAGATGATGCAGAGGCTGCAGCTGCACGACTGAGAGGAGGAGCGACAGAAGGCAGCGCTGCAGCGCGCGGCGTTACAGGGCAGCGCTGCGAGCGCCGCCCAACTCGGCACTCCAACTTTGGGTGCAGTCAATTAAAAACAGCTGCAATTAGAGACTGACAAGGAGCACACGGCCCGCTTTGTCCAGCGGCACTCAGTGCCTGCTGCACCACCTCCTTGCTCTTGGTCAGAACTCCCACAGCTCCATCAGCGAATGTTGCCGTCTGTTGGTGCAGCGGAGGCAGCAGTCCTTTGCACTGCCTACAAACAGACCGCCTGCAGAGCATGTGCAGAGAGCTGCGAGTAACAAGGCCTGGCCACCAGCGTGCTGACTTAGAGAACGCTGCCACAGAGATTGCTGAGTTTCCCAGGGCAGCGCTGAGTGTTTTTTGCTTTATGATGAGTGTACAATGAGCAAAGTTCCCCAAAAGGACGGCGTTTGCTCAAAAAATGACAGGCTGCTGGTCCAGAGCAGCGTCTCTGCAGCTTAGGACCACCAAGCTGCCATCCTGGCACTGCTCTGCTCACAGACAGCGCTCCAGGTCATGGCACTCAGAAGGCGCCCCTCTGTCGTGCAGCCCTCCACAGCGCCTGCCTGCCTGTCCCTGTGTGGGCTGGGATGGAGCTTTTCCTTTGCAGCGCCTGGTGTGACGCCGTGTCCTGGTTCCATCGGTGCCATCCTGCAGGCTGCTGTGCACAGCGCAGTGCTGCGGAGCTGTGCTTCCCGGCCCTGTGCTCTCCAGCACTCTCGTGTGAGTTCTGCCTCTCCCAGGAATCTCCTGTTCCCAGGAACCTCCGCTGCTCCCTTGCACGCAGGTCTGTGTGCACAGCCCTGTGCAGAACCGCACGCCCACGTGCAAGGACTTCCCTGCACACACACCTGTGCAACCACACGCACATGCAAGCACATCCTTGCACAGCCCTGTGTGCACGCTCCATCCACGTGCACGCAAACGTGTGCAAAACCACACAGCCTTGTGCAAAGACCTTGATGCACACACCCGTGTTCACGCACACATGCCTGAGTGCAAACCCACCCCTCCGCACACCAACGTGCATGAAGACACGAGTGCAGCTCCAGCCCTGCACACAGCCGTGTGCACACACACGCACGTGCAAAACTAACATTCACGTGGAAACACCCTGCTCACACCCATGTGCAATGCACGCTGATGTTCAACACCGCCTCTAAGATGATCGGAGGCCTGGAGCAGCTCTGCTGTGAGGAAAGGTTGAGGGAACTGGGCTTGTTTAGCTTGGAGAAGACAAGGCCTTGGGGAGACCTCATTGTGGCCTTCCAGTCCTTGAAGGGAGCGTATAAACAGGAGGGGAACGGCTGTGTGTGAGGGTGGGTGGTGATGGGACAAGAGGCTTTAAACTGAGACAGGGGAGGTTTAGGTTGGATATTAGGAAGAGGTTTTTCCCCCAGAGGGTGGTGAGGCACTGGAACAGGTTGCCCAAGGAGGCTGTGGATGCCCCATCCCTGCAGGCATTCGAGGCCAGGCTGGATGTGGCTCTGGGCAGCCTGGCTGCTGGTTGGCGACCTGCACACAGCAGGGGTTGGGACTGGATGAGCACTGTGCTCCTTTTCAACCCAGGCCGTTCTGTGATTCTATGATCTCTGCACACCCTGCATGCACACACACCTGCACTCACAGCTCTGTGACAAATGCCGCTCCCATGGCACAGCCAATGCAGACGGGGGAAATATCTGGAGCAAATATGCCCCGCTGCGCTCCTTCATTCTCCTCTCTGTAATGAAGGCACTGGGGTGCAGCTGCAGCCCATCCTGAGATGTGGGTTGCTGCAGGGTGCCTCGTTTGGACGCTGC